CTGGTCAGGGCACATGCCTTGCAGGCAGAAGCAGTTAGGGGCAATCAGGCAGGCAGGCAGGCGAATGGTTGGGAGCCAGCAGTCCAGTGGATTGTGAGAGGGATGTCCAACTGGTGGGTTAGGCCCAATCCCTGGGGCCTAAATTTCCTACCTAATGGGCTTGAGAAATCTCATGGGGATCGGGCCTAAACTGTCAGTCGGACATCCCCTAAGGGGTCCTAGATTGGAGAGGGTGCAGGCTGGGCTGAGGGGCAGCTCCCCCAGTGCACAAATTTCATGCACCGGGCCTCTAGTAAAAACAAAAATAAAAAAGCATCAGGATCTGTGCTAAACACTATACATGCATTAACTCATATAAAAGCATTATAAAAATGCTTTTAAAAAGGCATGATCATTAACCCTATTAGCCTTATTTTATAGATAAGGACATTGGGGTTTATTGAAATTAAATAATTTTTTCAAGGTCACATACATAGGAAAATGACAGGTGGAATTTGAACCTAGGTCTTTCTTTCACCATAGCTGGTAATCTTAAACACTGTATACACTATATTCTCTTTTGATAAAATAAAGCCCCAGAAAAGTGAACTGTGGTTCTCACATTTTCTATCTTAGGCATTGACCTGGTCTTTTCAAGTCTGTTATAGCTGGCACAATTAAATCTAGTAAACATTCCTTATGTATCCGAATGGGAACAAGGAAGACACTTTTGCTTAAAGCAACAATCTAGTAGTAATAGAATTGATGGTGAGTGCCGTAATACAAGTCCATTGAAGGTAGAGAGTGAAGAATGAAGTTTACTAGGTCAGCGGTGATTGTAGTGTTGCTGATGACAATAGAATAATTCACTGTTTTAGTCTTGCTTTGTTAAACAGTTTCATGTTCTATTATATATATTTTTATAAAAGTATTATTCCCCATCTTTGATATCATATTTATGTGCAGAAACTCTACTGATTGATCCAGAATTAAAATTTCTTTAGAGACTTGGCATTTTAAGCAATGAATTAATATCATTATCTTCATTAGCTCTTCATTAGCTCTTTCGTTGAACAATTACTTTATTTCCTAGATATGTTAGGCTGTCTCTGAACTCATTCAGTAACTTGAATACCTTTTTTAGAAACGACATTAATTCTGGTTAAAAAAATCACATAGCCAATATTGATATCTTTTGTCTACAGATATGATTGGCTCATAATAGTGTCAAAAACCTCACATGAGTCTCTGCTACTCTTTAAAAATATTTTTTATTGATTACAGAGAGGAAGGGAGGAGAGAGAGAAACATCAATGATGAGAGAGAATCATTGATCAGCTGCCTCCTGCACACTCCCTCCTGGGGCTCGAGCCTGCGACCCGGGCATATGCCCTTGACTGGAATCGAACCCAGAACCCTTCAGTCCACAGACCACACCGCTCCATCCACTGAGCCAAACCAGCCAGGGCAGGTCCTGATGCATTTTAAACTCTAGTACCATTTACTGTTACTTTTTCCCTTTTGCTTCTATGAACCATTCCACCATGTTTTCTTCTATCTTCTTCTTTGCTGCCTCTAAATGTACTCACATTCTGAGATACTGGGAGTCAGGACTTCAATATATGAATTTGGTCGGCAGACACACTTCAGTCCATAACGAAAAAATTACATTTTCCTTTTTTTTGTGCTTATATATTTCTTAGACTAACTTAGGTGGAAGAATGCCACTTCATAAAAATAATTCTGAATATTGTCAGTTAGATCATTTGTTTCCCTTTGGTTAATTTAATTGTTTCTAATATAAGAAAACATAAAAAGATTGAACATAATTTCTCTATTGCAAAGAGGAACCATTTGTAATGTTTTAATTTAATCTAGTATTTACTTGGAAAAAAAATTGGCATTAGCACATTTAGAACTATATCAAAGATTTTGAGATGAATTCCTAAAGTACACAGCATAGCTGCATTTCAATTATACTGTGTTGATCAGTGCAAAGAAAAACCAGTGTAAATACATCGCTTAAATATACTAGAAAAACAGCAAAAAGGAATTTTATTATGTACAACAATTGGCAGCATGTAAACACAGAATGTTGAGGCTTTTCTTAAAATGCTGAATCAAGTTCAATGCCAGGGGCAAAGTGCCAGGCTATCAGCTTTGACAAGCTCAGCTGAAGGAAAGCCTGCCTTCCAAAATGGGAAAGGCAAGGAGCCCAGAAAAACTCAGAATCCCGGAAAAACATGAACACTTTAAGCACTTGGCTCTTTCTTAATATGCATCCGCTTTGCAGCAAACCTAGAGAAAGTATTTTAATAGGCGAATATGTTCTTGTGAATCTTATAACTATGCTTGGTATTTATTGATCATTAGGTATTAAATCAGTTTGAAGTATCTTTAATTCAACCTTCAGATTCTTCTATTACTTATTGAATATTAATATTTTAAGGCACAGTTTTCTTTAAATGATACCTTGACTCTATTGAGTACCGGGTACTGATGGATGTCTAAAAACAAATGCTGAGATATCCTAAAGGATAAGGAGAGATCACAGACTATGTAACTCATGATGGCTGTTTATTAATGTGGAAAGAGAATTTGGCACAAAGCCAAACTAAGAAAATGAATGTAAAGATGGTGGTTTTAAATGGTAGATTTTTTTTAAATTTAATAATCCACCAAGAATCTATTAAAAAGTAAAAAGGTCTTAATTTGATCAGTTCTCTGTTATCAGTAAATCATTTGACATTTACTTTCTTAAAAATTTAAGAATAGCATCAAATGACATAAGATAAAACTCAGCTTGAATTAACAGTTTTCTGCAATAAAATCTACTCTACTCATTTAAATGTACAGAGTTAGCAAATTCAACTAGGCTACACATCCCTCAAGTAATCATTGAATATTGAGAGCATAATTGGCAAAACAGATCAATTATTTAGTAGAAGATTCATCCCCTCTTATCCACACTACCTCATTTCCCCCACTTTCTTTCACTAAAGCACTGAAGATTTTCAAAGTAATTGGACTCTTCAAATGAGAAGTAGAGAAGCCACCTCTAGAGACAGGTAGTAATCAGCCAAAATGGGATTTCCAGGGTGAAAAGTTTATCTGCCTCAGTCACATCCCTGATGTAGGCATGCAGTTTGTCTCATTGACCCAGCTAAAAAAAAAAAAAAAAGGGGACACCCTGCAGATAATAAACATTACACTGAGTTAAACTAACTTCAGCCTAATACAAAGAAAAGAAAAATTTATGATAGTCTTAAAAAGAATAAACATAGCCCTGACAGGTTGGTTGGAACACTGTCCCACATACCAGAAGGCTTTGGGTTCGATTTCTGATCAGGGCACATAACTAGGTTGCAGTTCACATATGCATATGGGCACATGTGGGAGGCGACCAATTGTGTCTCTCTCACATCGATGTTTCTCTCTCTCTCTCTCTCTCTCTCTCTCTCTCTCTCTCTCTCTCTCTCTCTTTCTCTTCAAAAATCAATGAGGAAAAAAATATCCTCAGGTGAGCATTAACAACAACAAAATGAAGGAGACTGGGAAGTGAGGTGAGGAGAGCAGGAGGAGAATAGGAAGAGAGGAACAGAAGGAAGAGGAAAGAAAAAGGAAACCCAGTGAAGTCCAGACACCCAGAGTGAAATGAAATGTTGAAAAGGGCTGAGTCATCCTTGCACACTATGCAGCCTCACTGATGATTAATATTTATAGAAATGGCTTAAGATACCTATGTGTACATGTTGCCAAAAGGCAAAACTGAGCCTCCCTGGGAGCAATCTTTAATCAGCAACTGTGCTCAGGAATGTATAAAGGATGGCATGTTAAGGCAGCTTAGCTAATAATATTCACTCACGCAATGATTTATAATGGACCAGTAACAAATAGCACCAATTCAATTTATTTAACTGTCTGTGCACCTCTTCAGGGAAGGGAAGACATAAATTCTGGTAGGTTGATAAATTATTTTTACTCCCTTGGAAGTCTGTGTTAGGTGTGCATAATTACTTTCCTGAGCAAGTGGAAGGCCTAGAATGTTCTTCCCACCTTCCACGTATGAAGTCAGGGTAGCTTGAAATTTGGCATGGATAGTAAAATAGATTAAAACATATGGAAATGACTGTAGCGTCACCCTGATACACTAAATTTAGAAAACTGACAGGTTTAGAACGAATATCCTAAATATCTACTGTTACATATACTCATTCACACACACTCATACACACACACGTTAGACATTTAAATAAACACTTTATTCATTCAACTGGAGACTTTAAACATCTAGGTGTCGGGGAAAGTACTAGTTTCTAGGAATAAATTAATATAACGTGATTCTTATCCCCAGAGGAGGTGAAAGAAAAGGGGAAATATAATTTATTGAGCCTCTGCCTTGCACCTCAAGTGTATAATTACAACACTGCTATGAAGTTGATAGTATTTTCCCTATCTGACTGATAAAGAAATGGAGGTTCAACAAAACTAAGTGACTGTTTATGTGTCAATTACCCAGTTACGTACCAAAGTCAGTATTTCAACCAAGATCTGTCATACTGCAGATTTCAAGTTCTCTCCATTCTGCTGCCAATAGTTTAGCAGGGAAGATGGACAAGTAAACATCTGTTATAACATAATTAAATTAGGCCCAGCTGTTGTGGCCCAGCGGTTGAGCATTGCCCCAGGAACCAAGAGATCAAAGATCCCATTCCTAGTCAGGGCACATCCCTGGGTTGCAGGCTTGATCCCCAATGGGCATTATGTAAGGGACAGCTGTTAGATGCTCTTTATCCCTTCCTCTCTCTAAAAAAAAATCAATAAAAATATTTTTAAATGATAATTAAATTAATATAACAGAAATGTGTACAATGTAAATGGCGAAAAGTAGTCAATCCTGCATGGAGTGAAGGAAAAGGAAAAGGTTTGATAAGTCTTTTCCATAGAGATACTATTTGAGTACTGTCTCTAAGAAGGAACCACAGTTCTCTAGTCACTACTAGGGTACATGGTGCTATGTCCCTACTTAATTAACCCTTTGCTACCTCCAAAACACACCATACGCTTCAGCCTATTGTCTCTTTGTCCTGCCGTGAGCTTTGCGGGGAATATCTCGTCTTCTTTGTGTATCTGGTGAATTCTTACAATGAAACCTAATGCAGTCAGAGAAGTGAAGATTTGTAGAAATTTTCCCAGTGATTTATTCATTTGGCAAATATTTATGTGTCCCTACTTATATACCAGATACTGAATATTCAGAGACAAGGACTAATAAATCTTGACCTACTGAAAAATCTAGTTGAGGTATAGAAAATAAAAGTATAATTATAATAAATAATTTGCTACATTAAAAAGAAGAACTAGAGATATGAAAAAACAGCAGAGACCACCAAAGAAGGCTTCCCAGATAAGGACACCCTTGCCTGTGTCTTAAAGATTAAGTAGTTGTTGATATGTAGAGAAAAAGAGAATTAAAACAAAACAAAATATCCAACTTCTTGATGTGTTTTGTATTGTTGGAAATATCATTAAAGTCTTGGCAGCACTTCACAATTAGAGAATTGCTAATTGTGTAATGAACAAAAGAGCTGATTAAATGCATGAGACCAGCAGAGTGGCATAGAATAACGGTGCCGCTGTGTAATTCATGTCTTCCCTGAGCACCGGCCAGGGGGAAATCTGACAACGATGTGCTCATTGGAGAAAAGATAATTCTGAGCCTAAGACTCTCTCAGACTCAATTCACTAACAATATTGATTTCCTGATATAGTCTGCAAATAAAGGGAAATTTAGCTGACTGGCAACATGGAGGAGAAATAATCATGACTACACTGACAAGCAGAAGAGCCTTATTCTGGTCTCAAAGACATGTCTATGTGAAGAAACACTTTTCTACACCTAGCCTTAGCCCAAAGGCCTAGAAGCCATAAGAATAAATTTTCTAGAACAGCTTAGCCCAATCAGAGGATATTTTCTCCAGGTTCTGTGATTCTCTCTCCCCCTCCCTCTTCCTCTCTCTTCTTATCTCTCTCTCTATATATATATCTATCTCTTTCTCTGTCTCTCTCTCATATAAATATACGCTTATGTGTATCATATGTATTATATATACATATATCTGAATACACAAACACACACATCTTTCCTTCTTCATAATCACTGAATCATTGCAACAAATAAAGTAATGGGTATTGGAATATCTCAAGCCTGGATCTGAGCTAGCAGTAAAATTGATTTCTTCAGTTTCCAATTTTCTCAGCCAGATTTTTGCATTCTCCTTCTAGCTAAAATGTCCACTTCAGTGCGTAGTATGTATGTTTTTAAAAGTACAGAAGATTGTTTTCTTAAAATTCAGTAGTAAAAGTCTAAGAAACATTTGAGAAGCAGGACCTTGTTCTAGGACTTTTACTTGTACTAGTTATTTTAATCCACACAACAACCCTATTATTCCCACTTTATAAATAAAGAACTGAGCTACAGAGAGGCCAAGAAACTTGTCAAAAGTCACACATTATTTAAAAAGAAAAAAAAATGGGCCATCACGCTCATTGCTTTTCTGAGAACTAAGTTTACTGAAGGATGTAAAGGAACCTTGTCCTTTTTAAATGGTTAAAAGGTTATCTTACAGAAGAATAAATATGGGTAAGAAATATGGGTAAGAAAAATGACAAACAGCATTCTGGAAAGATAAACAAGTCATACCCCGATCACAGTCATTTCCTTTGAATTTCTCTTATCACCATCTATTTTAATGTTTGATATTGCTAAGTCTCAAATATCTCTGGCTCTTACCTCTAAATTATACGAACAGCTTAGCCCAATAAGTCTATAGAATTCACCCACCTTTGCAGAGAAACATAGCTTAGTTTTGAAGCTTTTCATCTTTGAATTTAGACTTTGAATTACTATGATCTTAATTTTGCGGACGAAAAAGGGGCCACTTAGTAAACCTGACAAACTCAAGGGAGGCCTGTATGGTGGGTCTGGCCAACTCAGAGACATAAAGTACCCACATAGGATGGTGTGAAAGTAAAACTTCCTACCTAAAAGCAGGTAGTCACCTCCTAGGCCAGTATCTTCCTCGACAAAGGTCAACCTTTAGCTTAACTGAGACTGTCTGTTGTCTTTTGCATCTATGACAAGATATCTTTGAAATGTTAGAGTAACATTCTTTTCCAGACCCCTCAGGGCCCAATTATTGCACCAGAGCAGCAGACCACAGAACCCCACATTGTTATTGTTATCCTGTTAATTGTTAACTGTTAACTATCACATGCCCACCAAAGACATCCATAATACTTTCAACAATAAAGATAGAAAAATAAAAATAAAAGAAGTATGTGTCTATTCCTTTTGCTTTTTATTCAATCCCAGAGATTCCCCCCCTTCCCCCAGCTTTGCTTTCGCCCACCTCCCTAACCTATCACCAGTGAATTCCATGTAACTCCCTTAGGCCTCTTCCTTTGATTCTAATGTATGAAATAAGATGCAAAACTGCCATCCTCTGGAGCATTCTTTTCAGTCTGTTGAGATTTCGCTTCCCAGCAATTGTCATCAATTTGGCTCAAGTAAACTCATTAAAATTCTCTATAGGTTTGGATGTTTCTTATGTCGACAATTCCACTTTTAAGTTTGTTCTTTTTTCCCTAGCAATGAACACTATACTATTTTTCTGGTCATAAGGACTATGCAAACAACAATTCTATTATATTATAAATATCTTCATTTAGCAATGAAATTGCTTCTGTATTCTTGTGTATAATAACAAAATGAAATTATATATATATATAATTACTACAATTCAAAAAAGGGGAGTGAATATCCTGGCCAGGTAGCTCAGTTGATTGGAGCATTGTCCAGTACATCAAAAGGTGGTGATTTGCTCCCCAGTAGGGGGGGTACATGCGAGGTAACCTATCGATGTTTCTCTCTCAACATTGATGTCTCTCTTTCTCTCCCTTCTTCTCTCTCTAAGATCAATAAAACTATATCCTTGGGTGAGGATTTAAAAAAAGGGGGGGGGTGCTGAATAGTGTATAAGAATCTTAAAGAACTACTGAGTAAAACAATGTACATTTTGCTTAAAATATCTGGATTGCCCTGGCCGGTGTGGCTCAGTTGGTTGAGCAACATCCCATGAACTGATAGGTCACCGATTCGATTCCTGGTAGACACATGCCCAGGTTGCAGGCTCCATCCCCAGTAGAGGGCATGCAGGATGCAGCGGATAGATGTTTCTCTGTCATTAATGTTTCTCTCTCTTCCTCTCCCTTCCCCTCTGTCTCTAACAGCAATAAAGTCATATAAAAATTATGGATAATTCCTGAAATATTTGTTTTTGTTGCTGGTATAAACCTGTTCCATATTTCTAAGAACATTTCATATGATTTTCATGAAATATCATAGATAAAATTCTCGTTATTGATGTTCATTTTCAGATGTTTAAGACATAAAGGTTACAAATGAATAGCCTCAATTTTAGGATTTGGGGAGGAAAATTTAGCTAAGTCCTCTAATGAAACAAGAGGTTTCTTTTACATTGTTATATTTTAATAACAAGTCACCTGTTTGTTTATAGACAAATGTTCAACAATCAACTATACATTAAGCAATCAGTATAAAATTTTTAATCTGGGAAAATTTTCCATAAAACCCTAAATCTAAATAAAGTGTTTGTATATTTTTTCTTATAATTTTATTACAGAAGTATATTATATGTTCCCAATATCTTCCCCTTGAACACTTAGGCCCACATTCCCACTGATATTCTCCAGAAATGCAAACTAAACTCAAGTTGGCAGCTTCCTGGAAAGATGAAAGAGGCTTTGGAGCCCAATCTGTGCACCTGGCCAAGTTCCAGGTGACTGGTTTCTTACTGAGATGAGGCTGAGTCAGCCAGGAACAGCCGAAAGGCAGTAAAAGTGGATGGCAAATAAGTAAAATGCAGATAAATGACAGAAGATTAAGGGAAGACGTAATACTTGATCTCTAACATTATACCAAAGGCCTGTTAATTATGAAAATCTGATCCTTTGATTGCGTTTGCCGCATTTATGTTCAGAATTGGTGTAAGGGAATTAGAAATGTGTACTACACAGCAAAATTCAATGAGCACTACATTTCTTCAACATCCTTTCCTCTCAGAATGAAATGATATTCAGTCTGAGAAGCAAACATAAAAGTGGTTTATAGGAGAAGGCCCATGGTGTCAGCAAAGAGTCTGTCTTCATTTTTCAAAACAGCTGTTAAAAAATCGCCATCATGTGTATTAGTCAGAGTTCTCCAGAGATAATACACATATGGGATTTACTATAAGGAACTGGCTTACACTATTATGGAGGCTGACAAGTCTGAAGATCTGCAGTCAGCAAGCTGGAGACCAAAGAGAAGATAATGTAGTTCCAGACCATAGACCAGCAGACTTGATTCCCAGAAAGAACCAATGTCCAAGTTCGAAGGTAGGAAAAAAACCAATGATTGAGCAAAAGGCGGTCAGGCAAGGGGACAATCCTTCTTATTCACAGGAAACTCTGTCTGTTTTGCTCTATTCAGACCTTCAACTGATTGAATGAGGACCATCTACATTAGGGAGGGCAATCTGTTTTACTTAATGTTTACTGATTCAAATATTAACCTCATCCCAAAATACCCTCACAGACACCAGAGTCAAATGGAGAGATTGAGGAAGGGGAAGAATTTATAATTGTAAAAATACGCAAATGATTCCATAGAATTCCAGAGAAGGGGAGTTATTGCTTACATACCAAGACACAGTCTCCAAAGACTGCATGCCTTACAGAGGAGCCCTTGAGGTTGTTGGGGCCATGTTGAACACAGTACCTGAGTGATAGGAATAGAGATAACTGAATGGTAGGGACCAGGAGAATAGGCCTGAAATAGCTCCCTGTCTCTTCTCAGCCTGTGCGTGGCATTTAGGCGATCCAGAAATCCCTTGTGTCTCCCTGAGAGACTCAGAAGATAGCTGATCCTGAAAGGTCAGCAGGAGGGTCGTGGTCCTCTAGCAGAAGGGTAGAGGGTCAACTGCCCAAAGCAGGACTCAAAAGGGAGATCTCTTGGAATCTGCAGCCCCAGTGAGAGGTTGGGGGCAGACGTTAGACATCAGAGAGAGATGATGGCCAGTCTCTCTGGGAGCAGTTACCATGGACTTCCTGTGCTGTGAAAAGAGACTAAGGGTTGCACAAGCCACATATAGGTCACCAGGAAAGGTATCAAGGACAGAGATCACAATCCAAAGAGCTGGCAAGAGAAGCTACACCTCAACCAGAGGTCAGCAGGAGGCAATGAGCCTCACTCCCCATCCCCATGATAAGCGTCCTCTTGGTCCTGAATGCTGCCAGGTGGTGAGACTATGGTGGGGATGGTAGTGGTAGTGGTGAAACAGGCCAGGGACCAGAGGGAGGGATGTAAAAAGGACAGAGGGGAGAGATGCTAAGAAACAACTGAGCATCAACCCAAAAGATACTGAAAATAATTCACCAAAGAGGGACAAGGCTTTAAATTTTAAGAGACTCAGAGATGTTCAATGGCAAGAGCAAAGATTTTTCTCTGCTGTTGATAAACACAAGTCAAAATCAGCTGGGGAAAAAAGTACATGACTCATCATGTGTGAATTTCACACAAACTTTTACTGGTACCCCTGTCCAAACCTCTTAAGTATATATAGGGGACATTAACTTGCACATAGGCTGTTTTCAAAACCTAGACTTCGAACCAAGTGATCTTCAGAACAGTGACATTGAACCAGTCTGAGAAATCAGCTGAGATAAGTACAATCTTTGTAAGAAAGAAAGGAAGGAAGGCGAGGAGGAAGAGAATAATACAGGGAGTGGGGAATAAAATGAAAGGAGAAGACAGAGAAGAACAGAAGTGTGTGGGGGAGAATGGGAAGATAGAAAGAAAGAAAAATGGGGGGGGGGAGGAAAAGGAAGGGGGAGAGGAAAAGGAGGAGGAAGTGGGGAGAAAGGGAGAGGAAATGAGAGAAGGAAGAAGGGAGAAGGAGGGGGTTTGCTTCTGTAAGAATTGGACCTCTTTTCAGAGGCAACTCATTCTTCAGCTGAGAGTTACTATAACGTCCGTGATCTCTTCCACTGGGCAAATGCCCCCAGTATAAGTTCTCCTGGCACTATTCAACTTTCTTCACAGCAATGGCCTCAGTTCCAATTTCACACTTACATGTGTGATTACCTGAGAAACTCCTTGCTTTCTTTCTTGCAGGCAGAGACCAAGATGGGCTCACCATTTCACTAATAGTCTATACCAGTGTCTGAAATATAGTAGATACTTAATATTCAATCAAAGAATGAATGGTGGGATTAATATGTTTTATTTGAATCCATTTTCTCCTCCCACCCAATGCTATTTTCTTTACTCCTCATTTATTTAAAAAGCCCATTTATACTGGGCCTATCTTGGTGGATTTATAAAGTAGACTCTGAATGATCACTTCATATTTTTCTAAAGATTTATTCAAAATTTGCCAGGAATTCGCATAATTGTTTAAAGTTTAAAGTTTAAAATATACAACAACAAATTTAAAAGGATATAAATTTGGATTTGAGTAGGTAGTCATTCCAAAATCCAAAGAGCTAATGTGTGGAAACTGCTAACAGCCTCCTTAATATCCATCCTCTACTTCACTCTCAGAGTATTATGTTCAGCTTAACATTACATTATGCAATATAAAGAATGAATTCCCCATTATCATTTGTAGCGATAATAGACCTTTGACTGTCTGCCACTATCAGAGAAAGTGGATTGAATAATTTCTGAATTAAAGGGGCATGTTCTTCTTTGCTTTCTTCCATCCTGCTGCTTGAAACATAATCATGATGGTGTGCTGATGATCACAGTATCCTATCAGAGCATCAAAATAGAAGGATTAAATAAAAACAGGATAGCAATAAACCTCCCATGTTTATTGCAGCATTATTCACAATAGCCAAGATATGGAAACAATTTAAATGTCCATCAATGGATGAATGGAGAAAGAGAGAGAGAGAGCGAGAGAGAGAGAGAGAGAGAGAGATTATTCAGCCATGAGAAAGAAGAAAATCCTGCCATTTGCAACAAATCAATAAAATTTGAGGGCAGTATACTTAGTAAGATAAGACAAATACTGTACAATATCACTTACAGTGGAATCTTAAAAAGTTGAACTCATAGAAACAGAATGTAGAATGGTGGTTACTAGAAATTGGGAAGTGGGAGGTTTGGGGAGATGTTTGTCAAAGGGTACAATCTCATAGTTAGAAGATGAGTAAGTTCTGGATTATAGTCAACAATACTATATTGTAAATTTCAAAGTTGCTATAAGAGACTAAATCATAAATGCTTTCACCACAAAAATAAATAAGTACATGAGGGGGTGGATGTGTTAACTAATGCTACAGTTCTAATCACCTTGCAACATATAATTGTACCAAACACATTGCATACCTTACTCAACATTATATGTAAATTATATCTCAATTAAAATAAAAAGATGGAAGGCATGTAGGTCTCTGGAACAGAGCCTCCTTATCAGCTGGTGGACACCTACCTAAAAATTGTTACATGTCTGAGAAAATGAACTTGTCTCCATTTAAACACTGTTTTTTGAGTTTCTGTTACCTGCAGCTAACCTTGTGTCTTAATCAACACAATAGTGTTTACCTTTGAGATACTTTTTTAACCAATAAACCGTTTAATCCATGTCAGTACACATTGTGTCATGTTCATCGTCCTGGGTGTTGCGATGGAAAAGGTGAAGGATTTAAATACAATGTCTGAGGTTGGACTCACTGAAAGCATGTAGGTATTAACCTATCATTTTATGACAAAGTGAAACCAAAGCATCTTGGAATTTTTTATATTTTTTCTAGACATTATCTAATTCTTTAGAAAATGAGCACAAATTATTTTAACAGTTAATGAACTGTCTTACTTGCTCTCAGTCATTTCCTTTTTTGTTCCTGTTATTATTACTATTATTACTATTTATAAAGATATAAAATTATTTTTAAATTTAAAATGTTTAAAATATTAATACCATGCACTTTCAATTTTATTATCATCATTATTTAACAGTTGTTTTCAATTGAGATTCAGAGAAGCTAAGTAATATGTAAACTGAACCCTAAGTAACTTTCAAATGCATTTAAAACACAAGATTCTTGGATTCTGGGTCCTGAATCCTAGGTTTTCCTTATTCCAAAGTTCACCTTAAAAGATTTTTTAAATATGTTTTAAGCAATTTGTATGAGCCTCGATTCAGTCTGAGCATTTTTCTTCATAGTACTAAGTCATGGATAGATGTGCTTTTAACATTTTTTGAAATTACTGTTTCCATTATGTTATCAGGATGCTTACTCTACATATACATTCTATATATTCAAGTAACTTAAGTTTTCCCTATTCTTGACCTTCTTGACCCCTAGAATTTTATAAGCTTAAGAGTAATGGGGGACATCAAAAAGGAAATGGTACATATAATTATCTACATTGAAAGTATACAATTTATTTTATTCATTAACAACATAAAAAAGCAAGACAAATTATAAAAATATCCTTGTTTAATATTTGCATTAAAATAGTAGAAAACATGACAATATCCATAATAAATAGCTTATAAAATCAATTTTAAAAACCAGAGACCCAAGAGAATAAGTGGGCAAAAGGATGAACAGATGCCTTATAAAACAGGACATCAGTTTGTGAAAAAAATATTTATCCAACAGAGGAGGAACTTCTGGTTCCTGCCCATATGGCAACTTAACATGGGACTTCTGGCTTCCTCTGTAAAATCAATCCTGATATAGAAGTGAGGGGGAAAATGTATTTCAGAAACTAACCTTTCCATAGCAATACTAAAGTTGATTTCAATGATGCTTTGAGGGACGTTTGTTGCCTAAAGCCTGCAACAGAGGACAGCTGAAGGAGCAGTGAGAGGAAATCCTATATAATAAAAGGCTAATATGCAAATAGAACGGCAGAACAACCAAACAAATGAACAACCTAAGCAAAGCAACTAAGTGAGATCACCTTGTGAGACACTTTTACCTTGAAAATTGCCTCCTCATCTCTCAGGATTGTTCTATAAACTTTGTAGAATAATTTCAGCCAAAGATTAACACTCATGCATGCACGCACACACACACATCTTACCCTCTCTACCACCTTTATTTTTATGATCTTTCTCTATAAAAAGAAAAACTAGAGTGGAG